TGGTCGTCGATTTGTGTGTTCTAGGAGTGGATTTGCATCACGATCTCTAGTTCTATCAGGTATCCTGGCAGAGGTATTCCGATTCGGATCAGGTGTTTGTCTGGAAATAGTTAATACGAGGTAATATGCCTGAAGCTTCTTGCAACAAACCCCATCCATTCTGCAGAAGATAGAAGACCAGGAGGTTTTACAACCAATGGTGAGTCTCGTAGAAACAACAATTCGTCTCTGGTATACCGACGAGCTTCACCCGTTTCGGGAGCCATTATGGTACGTTGCTGTGGTCGTCTTGAGAAGTATTATAAGCTTAAATTATATGCGGATGGAGAATTTATCGTTGGGTGAATTAACAATGTTTAGTCCAGATGACCTTGTAAATTTTGTTAGCTGTAGGTGTGTGTGTTTGTTTTGTGTTGTAGTTGAAAGACTGTAGATTATAAGTATGAGCAAAGACGTTCTTGTAGCCGAGCTCAGCGCAGCTACCGGAGTAGGCGCAAAGCTCTACGCTTTAGACTGTTGTAATTTTGTAGGATGTGAGACGGACTTTGAATTCGTCGTGATTGTTTGTTTGGTACGGCGAGGAGGGGTTTTGAGGTGAGGGTTTTCGAATAAAGGATTTAGGGTCTCTAGATGAGTGTGCGCAATATATTTGACTGATTTCTTGTATAAATCTCTGGTCTTTTTTTGGGAGGCAATATAGCTTTATGTTATTTTATTTTGACTGTTTTAAAGTTGAGGTTCAAGGTCGTTCGTTTGCTCGTTGCCGTCGTTAGAAGTGTTGATGCCACAAAGGCAGGTTCCGTTTGTCTTAGCGATCTTCAGCCTCGGTGGGGCTCAGCTTTTGAATGTCGATGATACAAATTTCGTCCATTCGAGCGTTCAAGGGTACAAGCATTATGGTCGTGTGGTATAGATTGTGGTGTTATTCATTATTAATAATGTATTGTACCTAGGTAGTTAAAACAGTGTTCATACATTTGTTACATAGCACTGTAGAAATGGAGAGTGTCTTGGAAAGAGGTTAGATTCAATATTTAGGGTATCTTCAATCACAATTATCCTTACTATGTACCTAATAGCTACCAGCTATCCTATCTGTGTTACCTTGTGACTATTCAGTCGTTGGCGCCTTCTCCCCCTTCTTCCACCCTTCAATTCTCTGCTTGTCACTTGAATCTATGATCCTTTGCATTAACACCTTTAAAGGCGTACCGCCACCTAAAGCAACTTGTACCTCCAACCATGTAATGCTACTGAATCTTGTAATCAACGTGGTGCTTCCTCCTTCAATTGTGGTTGCACGAAACAACAGCTTCAATATTTTCTCTTGTAGTCCTTGTGCAAGATACGGGTTATTATATAACGTGAATAACTTCTCGAAAACTCGGCGTTTTCGGAATATGCCCATATCTGTTGGTGTTTGAAGACCAGCAAGCATAAGATCCAAAAGCCAGGAGACTTCTGAGTGATGGTGATCGTCGAGACTTGGCGACTCGTCTATAACCTTATACATCAAAGGTATCTTGTCAATCTGCCATGTTGGGCCCTGAGAAAGGAACTTGTTGATTTTAGGATAAAGACAGTGGAGCGGGTCGCATAGTACAGCCACAGAATGCGATGCGAACGACGATATGATGGTGGGAAGCGGTTCTGCGTTGATAACCTTCTTCGATGTCTCCACTAACTCACAAAGAAGAAGCCAAATTTGTTCCTTTTCCTCGAACGAAGATTCTTTGAGTTTGGCTCCAATCTTCGATATATTGGTCAATGCCTCCTTGCGAACACTGAAATGTTCCGAAGATAACAGCATAATCAGTGCTGCAGCATAACCGCCTTCGATGACTTCCTCTATATCCTTTGTCGCCCACTTCACCAATGCATTATGGTCCTCCTCGGGCAGTTCCTTCAGCATTGTAGCATTTACCTCGTCTATTTCCGCTGCCGAGATTTCACCCTTGGCAATTGCAGAATTGGGCTCCCCAGTGGCTCGTTGCGATGGTTGTGGGATTTCAATTTCATCAACAAGTTTTCGAGATTTATCTAGAATCTTTCGGGCTGACGATTCCTCTGGTGTTTCGTCGACCATGGCTTTGGTGATCAATTTAATGACCTTTTTATCCTCGCCAATCTTTATGGAAGCTGCCAGGAAACGAGCAATGAACTCAGCAACATCTTTGAGAATATTTGTTCCAGACTTGACAAGAAATGGCCATTGTTCAGCGACAGCAAGTATCAGCAAACTTACAGTAGACTGCTCTTTCTCGGCGTCGCGGGACTTCGAAGTTAGTTCTTCGAGCGAAAATATGTACTTCACTGGCTTCGAAGCACATCTCGAAACACAGTCATCGAGAAATTCATGAATCTGTCTTTCGTTAGGTGTACCCTGAATTTCCTTAAGTCTCGCTATGAACGTGTCAAGCGCTGAGATTGTAGTCTCAGTCTGGAAAATTTGATTTTCTTGGACAACTGAGTTCAGAACGGATCTCAGCTTGAGCAAGGGCACACCGGCAGGTGCTTCCGCTGACAATTTTAGCATGGCCACGAAAGGAGAAGCTGAAAGCCCCTCTGCTTTGACGAACCATCGCATCCCGGGTGAGAAATGAGAGAATTGAAACAGATTCTCCAGTTCCATAATTCGGAATGCGCGATCCTCTTTGGAACCCCCGGTGCTATCGATAGCTTGTAGAGCGTTCGTGAGAGTTTCCGATACGTCAAACTTAGCGTCCAATGCAACCCGTGGAACGACTTCATAATACAAAACTAATAATTTAGTGACGGCCTCTCGTTGCATCAATTCTGTATCTGATAACTTTCGGAGTGTACTAATGACATCCTTGATCGAAGGAACACGTTGACAAAATTCATCTGTCAATCTCTCAGCAGCTTGAGTCCATATCGAAGAGGAGGCAACGGCTGCTTCTTCATACATTTTCAATATTTCCCGCATTTTGTTGAATGCAACGGAAAGAATACGTATTGCAAAAAAGGAAATGAGATTATGTTGCTGATTTAGACAACGTGTAAAAACTTTTTGCGTTAAAGGTTGAGGCAATATACTTTCCAGCACAATAGAACAGGGTGGAGGTAGTCTCGCATACCTCTCCTGGTGTCCAAGATATTGAGGGATGGGAAGTTGTAGGGTGGAGAATACGAAAGCTGAATATCCAACCCACGTCGCGGTAAGCTTAGGATCTAATGAAAAAGATTTTTTGGTGAAGAAATAGCTTGCGACAAGCTCTGGGGCAGATTCGAGAATAGACAATAATAGCTCGCTTTGTTTCAAGCTCGACCAAGGACGAAGATTTTGGATGAACTCAGATAATACGGTATTGCGGACTGGAACCTTTTCTGTAAAGCGCTCCATCCATTCAATACTGTCTAACCCGAGGTCAATATGTCCGGCTTTTGTATCAACTTCGAAGCCTTCATCGGCATCAATTCCTCTGGGATAAAATCCATTTTGACGATTCAGGACTCCTAGGTTTGGCGACGTGCACGCGAGCATAAGAAAATCATGAGCAATCTCGTCAACTGCCTTTTTCCCTCTGCTAATTTCTTCATCTTCCTGATCATATGCATACAGCGCTGCTATCCGGCCGAGAGAGATTGCATTTACAACTTTCGATTTGGCATCTCTGGGTAGAGTATCATCCTGCATAACACCGGATTTCAAAGTCTCGAGGATATCGCGTATCACAAACGGAGGGTCGTCTCTGATATCTCTCGTTAAGCCCATAACAACATCCCTTTGATTCAGCAGTTCTCGTTTCGATTCTGTGGGAAGGAACTTTATGATAGAAAGGAGGAATCGAATCGCATTGGTCCGCACAGAAGGCTTCTTGCGATCTTCAACTGCATCTCCTGTGTATTTCAAGCTAAGATTTCGCGCCAATGTCTTGAAGGTGTAGTCTCTTGATCGGAAAACCTGCTTCGCCAAAGCTCCACCATCGTATATCGATAGTTCTCGAAGTAGTCGTAGAACTGGGGAAATTACATGCTCCTTGCTCTTATTAGATGTAAGACCTCTTGCAATCAGTTCTAGTTGACGCTTCTGAAGTATCGTTCTACCTAACCTCAATCCATGTTCAGCCATCTCCAGTATATTGGATAAAGTCTTCAAAAGTAACGCGAGTACGGCTGGAACTGCAGAGAGAAGAGATTCATCATTAGCTTGAGATGCGAAACTCCAAGTTTGCATGAGATCGGAGAGGAAAACGGCTGATTTATCCTCATCGTCGGCAGGCTTTTGTGATTCGAGGTATTCTTTGAGGATAATGATTCGGGCCGAGTTGTCAGTGTCTGTGATAGAAAAGCTGTCCAGAAACGCTTTCAAAGACTGTATGCCTGTATTGGGTCAGTTAAACATAAATACGAGATATCGAGGCATTTTGTACCATGTTTTGAACGACCAGAGTCTTGGTCAAATGCTAGAGTCTGCTTGAGTTGCCTCGCAGACTGTATATCGACAGAGGTGTAAGTTGTCTTGGTGACATTAGATATTCTTTGGCGCTTCTGATATGCTTGGCCTCCATCTTCAACGACCTCAGAAGATCGTTTGCTCATTCTCAACGATTGTATGCTGGCTACTAAAAAATGGGAAACTCAATTGTCGATTGCATCCATCGTCCGTGGTCTGGACAATGTTTTTCGTTCCCAAAAATAATTTTCTTGACATCCTTATCGAAATTTTGATAGTCGGCATGCTTAATCACCGAGACTTTAAAGTTGTGGCGCAAACCTGGGACGAGCGTGGCTTGCTCGCTTGCAATCCAATGCATTTCATCCAATCCATCCATCCATGCACCATGCCACAGATAAATCTACACCCTAACTTTATTTACCTACTGACCTCGCTCTTCCTGGGAACCTTTACCTAGTACCTGGTAGCTTCGACTTCGATGCTATCGTAAATTCGAGCTCTAACCACACAACCATGATCTACAAATAATATCAATCTCGCAATTGGCTTGATCAAAGCCAAAATTAGCTAATGTCTTCAAATGTCGACACTTCTTCCACTGACCCCGCGACGCGGTATCCAACGAGTCTCTCACCTCCGCCAGGTGAGTAATGGTAGCTCTGAAAATGGGGCCGCATCCGCAAGCAGACCAGTCACTTCGTGCTCAAGTACAGGAACTGTTCAGCACGATCCGATACCTCTAAAGCTTCCCGTTGAGAGGCGATGCAACCTATGGACGCATGATGAAACGTTCTCGAAAGATGAAGTTGTTTTAAACCTAGACCTATTTCCAGATGTCAAGGCTGGGGAGCTTATGGCTATCGTAGCCCTCAAAACAGACTCGGGGTTTCGCGATTTTCAGGACAAGTCGGCTTTAAATAGAACAGATGTTGATAGTGGAACGGCTTCTGGGCAGTTTGGAAGCTACATTTGGACTCAATCTGGCCATGACCATCGTGGGAAAGGCTCTAAGCATGATACGGGCTTTGGTAAACGCTATCTGTTTCTCGCAAAAGATATGCCAAATGATTTGAAGCTGAAGCAATCCGCATTGGAGGTTTCTCTTGCTAAGCCCATCGCCGATGTATTTAATTTGAAGCATCGGTCCAATGTGATTCTTTGCACAGTATGTTCTACCGATATATTCCTTCTTAAATATGCTGCTAATTACAATGTCCTACAGACTGATACAGCCACCAGCTCTGCATCCCACGTTGAGATGTCGTTCAAAGATGAATACCTTGCTCGATCAGACATGTGGAGATTAACTGTGGCCGAAATGGTCAACAAGGCTGTCTATAAAGGGCAAAAGATTTTGTTTATGGGCACAATCAAGGCACAAGTTACTGCTGTTTACATTGGTGGCCGAAAGGTGCAGTCCGCATTCTTTTCGACGAATACCAAACCAGTCTTCCGGAGCGAGTCAGCGCGCTACGTGCTTTTTATTCAGATGTCGAGGGAGATGTGGGATTTTGACTCGGAAGGTTCAGGAGAAATAATGTTCAACAAAGTGGTAAATGGCTTTTTACCAGCATTGTTTAAGAAGTGGGTGCAGCTTAAAGTGAAGCATTTAGTCAGCATAGTGTTATTTACAAGAGTCGAATACGATACTGGGTTGGCTTCAGAATTAGCAAGATCATCACACGATACCGCATACCACACGGGTGTACAAACTGATGGTAGTAAAAAGCCATACAAAGATTTTTATCGAGTTGTTGTTAGTGAGATGGCCAGTGGAGAGTGGACAACGATTCTATATCAGTTGAAGCGCGAGTTTAAATTTTTTCGCAAAGATATCTCCATGCATCGAATCGAGTTAGTCACGGCTTTGGGGGCGCCGTCCTCAGCCACAAGTAAAGGCACTCTTGGGACCCGCATCGAGGCGGAGCCCTCGCTTGCTATGCATGGGAACGTTCTCGAAGCAATAGATCTTGCTTCGACCCAGTTTGCGCATGATTATATCGATCGGGACCTTGTTAGAACTGGGATATCTATTGTTGTTGTAACTCCATGTGCTGGGCTTTTTGAAGTAGACTACGAGACTCTCCGTAAAACCACGGAGAGCCTCATCGGTAACGGCATTGGAATTGACCTTGTTTGTCTCCCGAAAATGCCACTGCACTCTGTACCACTGTTTCGATACCGAAACCCACGATATGCTCCATTTCAAGAAGCATTGCATTTCAAAGCTCTTCGTAGCGAGGATAGCACTCCGCGTCAAACAGCTCCCATATTTGGAAGCTATTCATCCTTGAACGGCTCGCTTTCTCCACCCAAGATTCGTGATAGAAGTTTTCAAAATTCCTCTTCCAATAGTGGACAGGACCCTAGTGAGTGGAACTATGCAATACCGCACTGGATCGATGTATCTTTTTGGACTGGGGCGTCCCAAGATCTGCTTTCTACATATCCTCTGGCCGATTCGAAGCTGTTCAAGAAACGAGTAGCCGAGTCCTCTAGCGATTTCGCGATACGATGTAAAATGTATGAAATGGAAATGGCTAGTGTCATGGAGAATGCGATGACCGAGATTGCCGTTCCGCCACTGCAACTAGACATTGCCTTTCCCCAAATGTTAATCCAGGAATCTCGTGAAACTGCGTGTACGAAAAAGCATTCTTATACCTGGGAACGCGCGAAGTTGCAGTCTAGCCTTTCAGAATTTGTTAATGGGCCATCAAAACCTTTACTTGATCGACATGCCACACAAGTTGAGAAGCAATTTGTGAAGGCACTTGATATATACGACGTCAACCACTCTGAAACCCTGGAAAATTTCATCGGCCCGCGACAAAAAAGCCTAAAGTCGCCCTTTAAACCAGGAAGTGAGGAAACAGCGAGAAAGGTTCTTGCAAACGATTCTAAAGTTTTTGGCACCTCTTTCACTGATGATAGTCCAACCTCAAGAAGCATGAATTTGCTCACTGGGGTGAAGCTCGACAGAGACAAGCAAAGCTTACATAGGAATGATCCGGTATTGCCGCGTAAAGGCAGTGTAAGTAGCACCATGACTGCAGCCAAAGTTCCAGCTCCACGACCTACGAAATTGAACCGCCAAATAAGTCTAGGCAAGTACGGTTTTGGCATCGCCGCGCCTAAGGGTGTCGCAGCTGAATTACACACCGAAAATGCTAGTGCAGCGAAACCAGTTTCTGCTTCGTCGAAAGAATTTGATCCAAAGAAGAAGAACACTTTCACCATGGCGAATCATTTACTTAGCGCTCCAGTGAGCCAAGATCGTCCACCGTCATCAAACAGTGATAAGTCAAGGATGAAGTCCGACAGCAGTTCCATTGAAAGCAAGCGAAGAAGCGAGCCGGACGTTGAGAGGAGTCCTTCGATACGCCCTATGACCATCAAAAGCGCACTTCAGTCTTTAGATTCGACAAACCAGTTCAAATCTAAATCTGTCTTGAGCTCCTTCTACGACGGGATCAAGGGCACCGAAGATGAGCATATGAATGTGCAGCTGCTCAGAACTAATGATAGTCAAAAGGTGTATAACTCAAAACTTCTCGCAGAAGCGGTCCCAGAACTACCAGCTACTTTATCTCCTACTACTGCTTTATCGCCATGGCTAAGTGTGCTGAATCCATCCAATCCAACAGAGAATGACGCAATGGGGAAAACGGTGTACAGAAGATGGCAACATGTCTTCCCTAAGCCAGTGCTCACTAGAACAATGAAATGGAAATCTCTCTGTTCTCCCGCATCTGTGCCATTAACCACCGAATCGTTTCCTACAAAGTTTCAACTTGAAACCGAATATCAGCAGAAGCCATACAATATTTCACAAAATTCCGAGGATGAAATTAGCGAAGATTCAAGTAATAGGGAAGACTTTTTGAGGGAGTTGATTAGCTTGCGACTTTCCCAAGGGTTTCAGATTGTCATCGGTCCTGGGGTAGCCGAGGCATTTGGACAAAAGTCTCTGAAGATCGCGAATGTTTTTGACCGTGATCGTATTGCTGAGGATGGAGCCAGTGTATTCATGTCCATGGGAAACATAATTCATCAGTTATCGTGCGTGAATGGTACCGAAATCGAAGTCAATATGTTCGTCCGAAAACCAACAGCTCTGACTACACCTAGCCAAGGAACGTTAAGCCCGTCTGGGTACTATCCGGCCATCCGAACTACTTTGAGCGAAACCTATGAATCGCGCAAAATGACGTTGGGTCGATCAAAGGATGAATATAACTGGAATTACGTAGACTCCTTCATTGCGGGCTTTGAGGACGACATGAACGAGCACCTCCGATTCTGGCGTGCAAGGTTTGTGCTGATTCCTGTGGTACGCCCAACTCAGTCTCGACGAGACCGCATGAGAGGTGAGGATAACGAAGAAGAAGTCCGACTAGAAGGTATCAGGAAGCTCACTCAAATGTGGCAAAGCCACAGATACGTTCCACCATCAGAGCGGCGTTTCCATAGTCTTGCCTCCAGGAAAATAAAAGATTCAAATCCACTTGACATTGTGTATAAGACGGAGGATCCATCCGTTGTTGTCAGCGCAGAACTCGAGACTTTACCCCTTGTGGAGACAAGTGAAAGTACAACTAGACGTGGGCACTTACTTGACACTGATCGTTTTCGAAAATCCAAACTTGATGTTGCCGCCTTGGCAGAAGCTATCCAAGCACCTGTGGAGAAGGGCGGTGTCCGTATGCAGAATCGCAGATGGCATTTTCGATTGCATTATAATTGTTTTATCGGTTCCGATATGACGACATGGTTACTTGAAAATTTTGAGGACATTGAAGATCGTGATCAGGCAGTTGAATTGGGCAACTTTCTTATGGTTGACGAGACACAGAGGTTGAAAGAGAGGGAAGTTGGTAAAGATGCAGGCATATTTGTCCATGTCGAAAAACGTCATCCTTTCAGAGATGGGCAGTATTTCTACCAAGTTACTGGAGAATTTGCCAAACAGAGACCGGATAGTCGCAGTGGTTGGTTCGGCTCTCGACGCCGTGAAAACTCTGTGCCTTCGACTCCAATGTCAGATGCCATGCCCAAAGACTCTCCTCGACCAGATAGAGCAAGATCTAGCTCTACGCAAGATGATAGTTCACATGAGTCGGGTGTGCCAACTCCAACCACATGTGGTGGCAAAAGGCCTAAGGTATCTCTGAGTAAAGTTATGAAGTATGATGTTGACCATCGAAAACGCTCTTATCGACCCGAACTCATCAACCTTCACTATGATCGTCTTCATAATCCTGACAACTGTTACCACATCCGAATCGATTGGCTCAATGTCACCGCTAAGCTGATCGAGGATGCCATACATACGTGGGCAACAACAGCAGAACAACATGGCCTACGATTAGTCGAAGCACCAATTGGCGAGGCATGTTCCATCGCTTCTGTTCATCCATTCAGGAGTCCCTACTTGATCGAATTGGCTTTGCAGCCTCCAGATCAACAGCCCCGAACATACTTTGACGTCAATTCCTTTACTCCGCAAGCACAAACTACACAATCTAATCGACATTATTATCAAAAAGCAATCATGAAGAAGTTCAATTTTGTTCTTGATATTGAAGCTGCGAAGAATTTTCCAAGCAATATTGATGTGTCATTCTCATGGGGTCGACCGGATTATACCTATACACAGTATATTCATAGATCTGGAGTATTACTTGCACAAATTACAGATGAAGGCAATTTCCTCCTATTAGCGAACCGACTGTACAATAATAGGACAACATCTGCCAGAGATACAGAAAAATACATGAAAGTGGATCATGCTAGCGTCAATCGCATGGGACCCAGTCCAATTGCAAACAATCCAGGAATCGCTGCAAATACATCCAGCCCCTTTCAATCACCAATCCTGCGTGCGGCTCATGCCCCTTCTCCTCTTCTTCGTGCGACCCACCCCCTCTCCCCTTCATTACGAGCGACAGCTGATGTACTAGGCGCTTCCCTTCCCAATTCAAAATTAGCTATCACCGGTGGAATCAGTCCTGACACCATCAAAGCCGAGCTCGAAGAATTCTGTCACAATAGCTGGAAACTAGAACTCTTCTACAAAGAAGTTTTTGAAAAAGTCACACCACCACATGCGACGCCACCAACGCTCAGAAGTGCATTCCCGGCTATGCTTCTCGACTCGAATATTCCGACATTGGGGTTACCGCCAGGGATCTTGACAAGAGATGGAAGGGATAGTAGTCCGACACCAATGAGATTGGAGCGGGTGCCGGGAGTTGGGAGTAGCATACCTGTACTTGGGAGGAGACCGAGTGTACAGATGAGTATTGCGACTAGTGCAAGTGACTTGTCCAGGCAGGAAAGTCCAAGGGGAAGTATAGCTGAAGGTTAGCCTTCTCAAAAGTTAATAGCTAGAAAGCACAAAAATCAACTAGACATCATGGGAGCTGGTTTCTTGAACATGACTTGATCGGAGCATATGCATGCTTTTGATTTTGTAGGATATCGAAGAGAGTTGGCGTTCTACTTTATTTATTTGTGGGATCTCGGGATGTGTATGCAAATATTATGAATTGGAACACCAAGTTCGAAAGCAACGCCTGTGCATATGGCAATATGGAACGATCACGATTTGAGACTTTCATCAAATACAATCATTGTTTCTTCTCTGTTACACTACCTTGAGTCTGATAAAGACTGTGATATCGAAACATTTAGGGTCATCTGATAGCTATAATGCAAAGGTGACCCCCGAGTATGGATGTTCTTAAAGATGTTGTTCTTTTATTGTCTGTGGGTTTCAACCTGGCGAGTACCTCCGGGGCCATCCTTCGCGTAAGCTCTGTAGATTCGAAGCTCTCGAAACCTCCCTTCCACAAGCTGTTTTCTTGTATAGCTTGGCAACCCGGGCATAATCAATTCAGACGTCAAGGAAATTTCAGTTCCTGCTACCGTCCCGGAAAATTTCCCTCGTTCACTTCACAACTAGAGACAGTCGAGGTTCTTATCGACCTCTCTTTGCTTTCTGCAAACCAATCAATCAAGCTTCTGTTGCTCTGTGTCTGAAAGGGTGCATTCTATACATATAGCGGTATGCACTACAGAATGGTGAGCGTCAGAATCATGTCAAAACTATTCAGATGTTAAGCCGACGTCTATTATCTTTCCAAGGAGAAAAACAAGGGTATAAAGTTCAACGCTTGTCAAGACTCGAAATCGCTGACCATTGTTCATTAATACGCTACATGCATTTCTTTCCATTCATTCATCGAGATTATGAACCGAAGCATTCGCCCTTTTCAAGATGGCTTTCTTCATTTCTTCCATGCCATTCGCTGTTCAATAATTCGTCGGTGTATCATGGAAGACTTATCTACGATGAGTGTCATCGACTTTGTATTGTTATCTTATTCGATCATTCGCTGTTGGAGGATTTTCATAGGTTCGTTCTATTTTTGCTTCATGTTCATAGAAACTGGACCTGAGCATTGCCATTTGAAGACCAATTCATATCTAAGAGCATTCAAGTCATGTCAATGATACCGTCTACTTTGATTTCTGGATTTTTTTACAAGATGTTAAAGAATGTATTTGTCTATCGTTATAACAATGTGTGATATCTCGCATCCTTTTATGTTCATCCACTTTTAATGTCTACAATCTACCTAAGTATTTAAACCCACCTCAATCTCTGTTCTTATCTCTCAACTCTATAATGCAGGCAATATTGCACAAAATGCTGGATAATAAATACGCCATATACACATCAGATTCACGAGGAACTGCGCGCCCCCCTCATTTAAATTTCGTTTTGGTTCAGTCAACTATCTGTATTTATCATTAAGCTATGGCTACTATCTACTTAGAAGACTAATTTGAAGTACACTACTGGTATAGAAAAGAATGACAATCCACTTCCATGCTCTGGTGCAATTCACCCGCTCGACTTGCAATGAGTATACCCACAACATCAACGCTCAATTAAATTATATCAAAGAATGTCCCCATTAACTGTATCCTCTTTACATCTCCAAGGTAGCATTTCCCGCCGCTGTTGTAGCAGAACCCTTATTTGCCACTCCACCAGCTCCTACAGTGGGCCCAACGCCCGGAAGTGTGAAGTCTGGGTAATTGGGCCATTCTCCCAATCTAGCTGGGTCACCTCCAATTCTCACCCATTGTCCTACACTTGGAGTTCCATTATCCAGCACAAAGAGCATGGCCCAGCTCGGCGGATACACATGTGCATTAGGGGGTGTTGTAATCGAACACTGCATATTTGCTGCTGTACCAGAACAGGAGAAGGCTGGAAAGAACGTTCGCTGGCCGAAAGAATTCCCATGGGTAGCTCCTACGGCCGCCATAAGAGAGATGCGAACGGTTGATGGATTACCTTTGTAGAGAGTAGCGGCTATGTTAATTGTATCACCATAGCCGAAGTCGTTGCCGTTTGAAAACGTGAAAATTGGTTGGGTAACACCGTTCAATAAGTAGGGAGGTAAAAATACCTCGACGCGATATTCCTGGACAAATCGAGTGTCTTCGGGATCACTACCTGTGACTAGCACTCTGCCATCTGGAACGAGCACGGCTTCATTGTGGTAGAGACGGTCGATAGTTGTGTTTGCCAAAGAAGACATTCGGGAATTCAGAGGCTTCGACGGATCGTAAAGGACAGCATTGTGGTTGGGTTCGGTAGCAAGGCCAAAGCCAGCAAAACCTTGCTGAGCCCCATTGAGAATGAGAAAAGTGCCATCGGGACTAAAATGCTCAATTAACAAATGAGTGGTGTGATGTGTTTGGGAAGAAAGCTTACAGGGCTACCATAGATGATACCACACGTTTTGAAGGCTATGTGTCATTGTCAATAATGTCTCTTATAGGAAAACAGGAGCCAAAGCTTACCATACGCTCAATAGTCCAATTCGCGCCAGGTACCTCAGGTTGGAGGGATACACAGTTGTCCAACGCGATTTCTGGACCTGGGGTAGAGCCTCCGCAAATCATAACTACGAGTGGATCTGTATAAGGTGCACTTTGTGGCATCAAAACAGCAGTGCCTTCCATGGGATATGTCCTTCCACCCAAGAAGTTATTCACCGCAGCAGGAATATTCGGTAGTACTCTTTGAGTTTGCAGAGTAACCTCGTCTAGAATTCTCGCCTCATTGTAGTATGCAATGAAGATACCTCCAGATGGAAGAACCGCAAGATATGGATACAAGTTGTACGGATCCGTACGAGCCAGATAGTCGCAATAGAGCACATCTCCTCCAGGAGGGCGAGGAATAATTTCCAAGGAAGGAACGGCCGCGCCATTGGAGCCCACTTTGCCACCTACCACGAGGATGCTTCCATTGGCCATGATCATTGCTGAGGGATACCATCGACCCGTTTGCAGACCAATCTCTTGATAATTCTCTTCCCAATCATTCTTGCTTGGTACTCCAGGTGCCCCATCTGGAGTATAAAAACGTACACCTAGAGTTGAGGGAAGTGCCCAACCCCCGATGTTTATCTGACGCCCTAGACGATCGGGGAGAATAATACTAGCAGAACAAAAGACATCTGTCTTTACATGCATGGGCCTCCATGCTGCTGTATAGTTACTGATCTGGGTAAGGTCAAGTTCATAAGCACCAGTGCTGTTGTTCGCGGGCGACGTTCCGAACTTTTCCAGGAAAGAAATCTTTCCGTTGATTCCAACAGCGGATGTTAATGGAATGATTGGCCCTGTAAACTCATCAGTCAAGCAGTCCGATGATCTTAGTGTTATAGCCTACCTCCAATGAGGAACTCATATTTTCCGGCAGAATTTCCGCTCTCAAAAGTCCAGCTGTTGAGTGGGGTTCCTGTCCAAGTGTAATAGGTAATCAAGGACGGCCCACCACAATATGTATCACGATTACCGGTGCAAAGCATGACACATTGCGAGTCATCAACGATCGCAGCCTTGTGGTTGATAACATCCTGTACGTCACCGCAGACTGTGAATGAAGTCAACACAAAGTCTCATCTGGAACTTTACAACAAATAAAAACAAAACTAGATGCCTGGCAAATAAGATCCCAAGGATCACGCAGAATTCAAGTAGCTCTTAGGCGCATCAAGCCATAAAAAGAACTAGGAGCATAAACGGAAACTCACAGCATTGATTCGAATATTCCATACCCCCAGCACCATATCCAAATTCAGAACACAAGCTAAGACAGTTTGTGGCTGTGTTGTTATTTGTAAGTGCGATTTGGTAAGGGAACACTCTATTCACAGCATCGTCTCTGCATGGTGGTCAGCTCTAATCTTTTGTGTCACAATACTAGCACGTCAAATGCGACGAACAACTTGAAATTGAAGGTTGCACCTACGTGAGACACCCCTTATATTTCCAATTGCCCGGTAAACTCGTATTCTGTATTACGGGTAGTTGTCGCACGATCAAACTTGTTTGATTAGAATAAATGCTCATACGATCGCCTATTGAAGTCAGGAGTTAGCATTATTTACATTTGCTTTGGGAAAAGAACAGAGATTGTATTTTAAAATGAAGGTACAGGTGTGTAGGCACTGGGAAAAGCAATGCTACGGATGGGGAACAGAATTGAGGGCAAGACCGCAAATACTAACCTCCACCACACATTTGATTTGCATTTCCGCCGCACGGAGTATTGCACTGAGAATCTGAGGATGCCAAGGCTCCCAGATTAATAATTGCAGAGTCGCAATAACATTGTGTATAGTATTCCATTCCAGCTATACTATATCCTGCTGTGATACAGTTTTGTATGCAAGATTCCACAGTCATATTGGCATCGTTAGGCAGATTGTCGGCGAGGATACTACCACGACCAAGGGCTCGGTCAACCCAGCATCCTTTGTAGGTCCATCCTTTTGGAAGATCTGTGATCGTGGCCGAAGGGACAGTGGCACTAATTGTCGTGGGTGTTGGTGTAGGCGGTAAACTCGTTGCGGTGTAATTGTATACGTTCATCCGCCCGGACCTAGAAGATAATCAGTAATTGCTTCTCGCGAAATCCCTCGGAGAAAAGGATTAATGTTCAACAACGACATTAGAAACAATGCTTACCCTCCGCAAAACTGTGTCAAGTTCCCTCCGCATGCCATATTACAACCCGTTGCTGGAGCGCCATAGTTTTCAATCTCGTGGTCACAATAACACTCACTGCCATACTCGACGCCCGAGAGTCTGTAACCTCCGAGAATGCAGGCGGAAAGACATGCATCGACGCTCATGGATGTCCCGGCAATGGAATATATCTGCGTGGTGAGGGTACGTGCATTCACGCTATCATTGTAGCACCCAAGAGGTACCCACCCAGACGGTGCTCCTGTAAAAGTAGGAACGGGAATAGAGCTTGTCGTGAGAGTAGGGAGC